GGTCAGGTGGGACTGTGAGGCTACAAGGAGCACAAGTCCCAGAGGTACTCAAGAGTTATTTAACGTTTATAAGAAACTAGTGAGACCAGCTGTGTTGTTTGTTCTTGATAACATGAGGATTGAAATCTTCAGAGGTTTAGAACAGGATGTTTGTGTCGAAGCATTAAAGCAAAATCTTTGGAAAAACATAAATTAATTAAATAACTAATAAGTAAAATAATGTGAAATTGTGTGTTAAGTAAGTCCAGAAGCTTTAAKCAGAGCAGACGTCCCTCCTGGACCACATTCTGGAGCTGGAACCGCTCGGCTGGCCCGTTAATGGCCATTAGGGCAGCAAATCTTTCCTCGGTAATTAATGGCCCGGCTGGGCTGTCCGTCACGGTTGCCATGGTAACAAATGGTTTAACTAACCGAGTCGAAGGATCCGACCTGAAAGTGCCAGACTGAGGTCTCTTTATCACAGAAACAAGGAGAAATGTTTGTTCAATCTAGCAAAACAGCAGCTAAAAAGCTAAAACTGGTGAAACAGTATTAAAAACCAGACAAACTGCAAGCAAACGTTAAAAGCTAAAAAACAGAAACAAAAAGTACAATAAGAGGAACAGTAGCTAAAACCTTAAAAACAATAGGTAAAGTTAAAATGAGCAAAAAGAGTAGCTTACCCCTCAGAACAGCAAAAACAGTAGCTAAAAGCTAAAACTAGCTTACAGCATTTCACAAGCAAGTCATTAGCTAAATGACCTGGCAGAACAAAAGCTAAGAGCTAAGACTGCAAATTGACCAATAATTAGAAAAGCAGTAGCTAAAAGCTAAAACAGTAGCTAAAAGCTAAAACAGTAACTAAAGGCTGAAACTGTCAAAACAGTACCAAAAAGCAAATATATATACTGTAGCTGAAACCCAAAACAAGAGATGGTAGCTAAAAACAAACACAGACAAAAACGGTAGCTAAATGCTAGCACTGACAAATGCAACAAAACAACAACTAAATGCTAAAACAAACAGAACAGTAGTTAAAAGCTAGGACTGCAAAAGCAGTAGATCAAGCTAAGGCTGACAGAACAGTAGCTAAAACTTGAAGAACTATAGCTAAAGTTAAAATGACCAAGAAGAGTGATTTATAAAACAAAAACAGCGAAAACAGCAGCTACAATTATTAGTAAACCAATAGCTAAAAGCTAAAATGACAAAAATAGCTGCTACAAGATAAAATTAATAAAACTGTAGTTACAAGAAGGCAAATATACTGAAGTAAAAGGAAATAAATGTTTATAAAATATATGTTTCAAAAACCAAAAGTCACAGCTGTAATGTCCTGAAAGAGCTAAAAGTAAGCTGAAGTCGTTAAGGTCTAACAATGAACAGCTGTTGTTCATAAACAAGATTTTTCTTTTTCTTTATTGATGATTATTTCAAACACAGCAGACATGATATTTTGAGCTCCAGACATACAGGGGTTTAGATTCAGGCACTGTTAGCAGTGAGKTGCTGTGGACCCGGGTCAGAACCCTGACGAGTCCAGAAGAGGCAGCCGCCTCCTTCCCTGTGGCTCAGAGAGAGAACTGGTGATGATGGGGTCTAACGGGGACCCCGYCTGCTCCGGGGCCAGACGAGGGAACTGTTGACGGATGTGTCTGTTGTAAAAAGGTCATCAGGAGGAACTCCAGCAGAATAAACCCACAGGATCAGACCGGTCCGTTTTGTTCTGAACAGCCTGGAGACGGATGTGTCGCAGTCACAGACTGTGTTTTTAAAGTAAAACATCAGCTGCTCAGACTCTGAGTGAAGCTTTAAAAAAGTCTGAGCTGTTTGTGGAGCYACCCTAACAGCTATAAATGTCACCACGCCTGCGACGGGCCGAGAGGCGGAAAGACGAAGCAGCCGTGTCATCTGCCTGCGAGCTCCTCGACAGGTCCTCCGAGTATTCTGGGATGGCAGGCTGGCTGCGAGCCAGCGGTGGGTGCAGCGGGAGGAAGTGAGGCATCACGGAGAGGCTGATGTGA